ATTGTCTTCCTCGTTCCACGAGAAAGAAGGGCTCTTCCAAAAGAGGAGGGTTTTCCAAAATTTGGCCCAGCGTAGACAGGCCAAAAAAACCTCTTCCGAAAAAACAATCGGAATAAGGTATGCAAATTATGGAGCACAATTTGGGTACCTTTTTCTGTTAAGTCCGTAGTCTAGATATAGCCTGAGTAACAGTAAATGTACAAACTTAGCATTTCAGAAAAAATCCAGGAAAGAAAATCTAATGGGAGCTTATTACTACAGTCTTTGGCATTGTTTAAAAAAGAAGAGCCTGTGACCGTCTATATGAGTTTCAGAAGTACATTCAGGTTTACTCAAACTGTAAGAAGCCTCTTCCTTTCTATCAGCATTGATTTCTCAACGCCACCAAACTTTTTTCCCTTCCCCTGGCCTCCTGACTCATCCAACTCTTGTGTCCTTTCCAGTGCTTGGTGATTCCCATTTCTACCTCCCTTCTTAATCTCTAGCAGCATCTCCTCCCCCAGCTATTCCTGGTACATCACTAAATGCTACATCAGTTTTTGCTAGGTGAGACTCTGGCCCGGTATTTATAGTATACTTTGGGCACTCAATTGTTTTTGTCTAGCTCTTCTGAGCAATGTTCCCTCTAATCTTTTCCATCCATGTGCAGAATAATTTGTTTATGTGCACCGAGTCGTGTGAATGTGCAGCACTAGTAGAAACAAAAAACCTAGCTGTGGGCGCTCTGCTAATTAGCATTTGACTCTCTACTGAGCGGCTGCGCAAGTCCACAGAATACAGGGAATGCTGCTTCTGAGCCAGTTTGTTCATCCTAAGACCATATGTCCCTAGTCTGTTTCATCTTTGAAAGGTGTTAGGATTTGAACATTGAATTCTGTCTGTCCTCATCTGCTACCCCAGGGTGGTTCTGTTTGCCAGTACTTTCTCTCGTCTAGTTTTTACCTACTAGTGGAGCCTCAGCCCTCCCTACAATTTCTGAACCCTCAGGCCAAAAGGTTTGCCCACCCTTGTTTTAGATGCTACGGGAATACAAATAATTAATACTCATTCCTTCCACTTAAACACAATAAACAATGGGTGAATTTCTATGGCCTGCATCATGTTGATCAGACTAGATGTTTTTGTTGGTCCCTTATGGCCTTAAAATGTTTATACACTCGCAAATCAGCTTGAAAATGCATTCCTATGAAGTAATCTTGTGGGAATAAAAAACCCCAGAGTCAGCAAAAGGAGATATAGGAAATACAAATCGTTACAATGCCAAAGGAACTAATCATTTTTCCTCTTTGTGGACAGATTGGCTATATCCAGATTGGAACAGAACAGCTGCTAATACAACCTGTGAATATCTCTGAGACCTCATTCAGTGGAAGAGAGCACTTCATCAGGCACAAACGATCTTCAAAATCCAGCCATCCTGCTAAGTCCCCCATGCCCAAGGAACACTGCAAAGTCGTATCAGGTGAGTTTGAGAAAATGCACAAAGATCAGCTACGTGAATGCAGTTATGGCCATGACTGTTGTTCTGTCAAAGGACTGTGTTCACCTGTGCTCCAGCTCTGAATTTTGAGATAGTAAAAAGTGGTTATGAATGACATGTGGTGATGGATCATGCTGTGACTTCGGAGAGAGTGGGTTTAAATGTGAGTTGCACAAGACAAAGAGAAATAGATTCATGCTGGGTATCATTTAAACACTCCTTTTAAATAGTTAAAAACTAAATATGGTAAAAACCTTCACTTCACTGGGGTTCTTTGCATTGCTCTGTAGCCAGAGAATATGAAGAGCAATTGTAAATGGGTAGAGAACCAGGATACCTGGTGTGGAGATGCAGTCGGGGTTCCCCCATTCCTGCACCCCCATAGCAGCAAGAACAGACTCTGCCAGTCGTAGAATAGAGAGGGACAGGGCCCAGGGCCAGAATGCCTCAGACTCTAGGATTAGGGGTCCATCGCTCCTAGGCCTCCAGCTTAGCCTCTTCTCTCCATGCTTCCCCGACAGCCACTGACCCTTCCTCCCAGCCCTGCCCCCCAGGTGTTGGTTTCCGCCTTCCTCCCTTTGTCTCTGTCCCTGGGAGACTGAGCCTGGGTATCTGGGTTAATACACAGTTGGGAGAGTCAGCGAGAATCTCCCATCACAGCGCAGGGGGACCCCGGGTTACAGAGCAGAGAGCCCCCCCACTATGCCACACCTGGCTTCTATGCCTGTCTCCCAACACTCTGACCTAGTGACCGTCTATAGAAAGGGAAATAAGGACAACCCAGGAAACTATAGGCCAGTCAGCTTAACTTCTGTGCCAGGGAGGATAATGGAGCAAATAATTAAGCAATTTATCTGCAAACATCTGAACCCAGACTGTGCTCCTCGTTCCTATCTCTGGAATCCTTATTAGGGATATTAAGTATCGGTTAATTGAATAGTCACGTAACCTCATGAATTCTTATTGGTTACTCGACTATTCTATAGTACCTTGGGGCGGGGCCGGCAGCTAGTGAACTCTGGCCCCACTCCCAAGGAGCCCCCAGCCGCAGTGCGGGGTGGTCTTCAAGGGGAGCCAGTTTAAAAACCAGCTCCCCTCACGGACTAGCTGCCTGTCACCCTATGTAGCTGCCTTTGATACAGATGGGGAAGGTCTGAGCCCCTGGATCCAGCACAAGTCAGAACTGAGCCAAGCTGCCTGTCTGCATAGCTCCTAATGCACTTTAAATGCAGAGCCACAGCGGGAGTAGGTCCTAGGCCCAGCCTGAGCCAGGCTGCTGGCCAGCCTGCTAAAAAATATACCGGGGAGGGAATGTGTATAGTCGATAGCATTAACCTATAAGCTTTTGCTTATCCGTTAATCAACTACACTATTCCATCCCTAATCCCCATATACACATACTAGAAGACTTAGTTGGTGCTCTCCATGCTCAGCCTGGAGGTGGAGGAGGGGGTCTGTACAGGCTTGTTGGTGTGGGCCATGCTGGGCAGCCTGGGGGGGATGCCTGTGGGACCAGGGGTTGGGGCAGTGGCCTGCAAGTTGGTGAGCCCCATCCCCAGCTGGCCACTCCCCTCCTGGTGGCGCTACCCACAGTTCTCACTCAGCAGTTCAGCTGTCCCCTGTGCTTGTTGCCTCCAGTGGTGACTGTGCAGTATTGCATCCCTCCAATCAGCCCCTCCCTTTCCATGTTCTGGAAAACAGTCGCATTCCAGGCACATCCCATTTCCTTGCCATAACCGAACTCTGATCTTGCTTTGTTAGGATAAGAGGAAGGTGCATACTGAATTTGGTGGTCCTAGCTCTTACCGCTTAGGAGGAGTTCTTGAACAGTTCTTGAACAGGCAGACAGATGTCCCCCTCCCCCTCCACCCCAGATATAGATATAATGACTGAATGAGGAGAGATTCTGCTGAAATCACTGGGTGATTGGAAAGTTTTGAATTGCCAATTTTCAATAACCGAGCGGGACAATGTTGAAACTATTTTTTATTAAACAAAAAGGATGACAGCTGGGGATGTAATTATATAAGAAATAAACCCCAAGTTCTCCATTGGGATGAGCACAAGAATCTCATTTAATCGGTGGAACTTGTATTCTTAGCTAACACTTTTCTGCCTGTCGATATTTCCCCGCCACTTTCCTCACACCCCTTTTCCTTTTCAGCCTCCCTAGAGGAATAAAAGCCAAAAGTTTGGGTAAGTGTATCTGCTTGGAGAGTTGTGTCCCTGTGAGCCCCTGCAATTCCTCTCGGCCTTTCTGTCCATGGCAGCTGTACTGAAAATACTCAACAAATGCAGCTGTTCCCGCTGCCCCCCACCGGTTCTATTCTTTTGTTTGATGTTAATAAGAAAACAGCTGTTGATATTAAAATACACTCAGCGATTCCAAGAGGCTGTATAAATGGGTGTTTAGTGACCACATCCTGGCATCTCCCATTTTTAAGTCCCAAGGCCAGATCTTCAGCTAGTGTAAATTGATGTAATATTGACTTCAGTGGAGCTCTGGCAGTTTACACTCACGGGGGATCTCTTCCCAAAAAGCTGGATGCACAGTTCTGCAAAACCTGGATACTCTGCAGAACCTGGCCTTGTTTCATAAGTGACATTATGGTCCATGTGCCTCTGTGTTTTGTTCCCCTCATCTCTTCCCCCGGACTCTCTCCACTTGGACCAGATGAACTTTGTGCTGGGTGGAACAGTGGTAGATAACTGCTCATGTTGTGTACAGTACGTTGTCGTTGGGCAGTCAGGGAGGTGGTGGCCGTGGGAGTTGGGGGGATGAGGGGAGGAGAGTCTATCAGGAACTCTGGGAAGAGTAGAGATGGTCAGGAACTGGGGTAGTCATTGGACGTTCAGGGTGATGCCTACTGAACCCAGCAGGCAGTAGGAACAGCAGTTGCAATTAGAATGGGGGAGCTGGAGGGATTGCAGTGAGGTTGACAGAGGGCCTCTGAAAGTTTGCATATCCTCCTGTTAAAGGATGCCAAGTTTGGGGATTTAACCTTTGGACAGTAGCTCATTAATTTGGATTCAGCCTAGCCAGCACAGGTTGGTTGATTGTTGACAGAATGCAGTTTAAAGCGGGGGCCCTGTTTTTTGCGTTGTGTAGAGCTGAGCTCTAACCTCACCAGCGATGGTTGTTTGAGGGGTTCAGACCCCAACCCCTTGGCTCCAAACACCCTCAACTAGGAGTTCGGATCGGAATCGTGCAGCTTGGCACTGTCCCTAGAGAGGATGACCCCTCTCCTGCCACAGGTTGCTGTGGCACATCGAACATTTCGGAGCGCTCAGGCTTTCCAGGAACGACGTGACAGCTGTGACGGCAGCTCTGTTACTCGGAGGAAATACAGGGCAGAGATTTTAACTGCAGTATAAAATATAACGATCCATCTTCTTTAAATTGCACTCGTCAAGAAAACAGCCTGTGCTCATTCAGCTACACCTTCGTTCTTATAGCTCACTGAGATGCAGTGGATTGCGGCTGCAACATTAAAGACTGTTCTGCAGGATGTAGCGCTCCCTTCACTCCTTTGCTCCCTGGCAGTCCAGAGCCTTGCAGTACTGGGCTCCTTGTTTATTTATAGCGCGTTGATGGTGCTCGGTGCCGTGGCATCCGAGCTCCTTGCAGACCTTTGGGAAGCTACCCTCAACATTCCAGTGAGGTAGATCAGCCTGATGGAAGTTGCTGTAAAATCTCCCATTGTCTGAATGGGCTTTGAAGTTGATGCAAGGGAACACAGGGAGTCTGCGACACAGTCCCGACCTGTCGTGTATGTTGACCACAAGATGGTCCGTCTGCCTTAGCAAGGCTCATCTTGTGTGTGCTCCCTTATGGCATGGAGTTTGCAAACCTTCCAGGTGGAAATGAAACTCCGTGTAGGAATCTTCTGATCCAAGCTGCTGCCGCTACGAATTGCAGTGTCCTAAAACAATGGAATTGCCCATGGGCCTTCCTGCTTACAAGCAAACTCCTGAATGTTTCTCATTGTTGCAGGAAAGATGTAAGTCGTGGTTAATAGGCTTAGCACACTAAGGACCTAATTGACTTCTGCCCGCTTTGGATTAACTTTGGTGCACAAGGAGTTTAGAAACAGAGCAAAAATAATCCTCCCTACCCTACCGAGGTCCGTTCCTAGTGAAACAGCATGGAAATGATAAGCAAGCGACTTGCTTCCAAGCTTTCTCATGGGAATAAAAGACCTCATTACAAAGAACCGGTAACTAAGGAATTGTCCAGATTTCTGTCAGGGACCTCAGCTTGCAGTGACTTGTAACTTGGCTGTCAGATATCACACAGGCTGAAATTTTAGAATGCAAGGCCAGAGACTGCAAGAAATATGTTTAGACACTATTAATGTTATATATACGAACACCTTGTGGAACTCGTATATTGTGTATACATACCAACACTCATGCGTGTGTAAATACAAATTAAAGGGTTTATTGTTTTAGGCTCTGGGAGCACCATGGTTTTGAATATTTACCAATTCTTCGTTAGGTTCTTAAGAACACAAAGAAAACAAATAACATTACTTTCAAATTTTTTTCCTTCTGAACTTTCTGTAACTTGGCGGACAGTAAAGTGAACTACCACCACGTTTAAAACAAAATAAGTAAAACTTCACGTGATGAGGTTTTAAATAGCAATGATTGTACTTCCCAACATTTCAAAAGGGTAAAGCAGGATGGGTGGTTCTTGCAGGGAACAGGAGGCCGCTGGTGGGGGAGAAGGAAAGAGGGGGGTTCTGTCTTGGTGCAGGACGGGGGAGCAGCAGCTGGTGCTGTCTCCAGGAAGGGGAAATTGCAACATGAGGCAGTGGCTCCCATGCCGTGGGGCTGGCTGGGTTTGTCTCCTGGAGCGAGGTGTTGCTATCTGGTGCAGGGTCCCATTGCTGTGCTGTTCAGGTCTGGCCTGCCCCCCTTCCACCAATGGATGGGCAATTGGGCCAAATTTGAGGGAGTGGCACTGCGGCCTGGTGCAC